TTTTTGGACGGCAATGTGGCATGAAATTCTTTGTACAAATTCAACTTGGCAGTACAAAGTTATTTAAAACCCAAAACCCTCAAAAACAAGGACTGGTGAGTGGTTTTCCTCCTGATGGTTTTATGTTAGAGTTGATACCATCTGTCTTCCTGCTGCCAGTAAAAAGCTAGGATAAATCTTGGTCTAAACAATGTAACTCATAGCTCACTAACCTTGAGAGAAATGCAAATACATGTTCATATTTAATCTTGATCAATGTATTACCATTAGATGATTAGGATTGCTCAGATGAGATGTAACTAGCATGTAAGCCTGAGTATAGGCTCAGTTTGAGAAGGGCTGAGCATGAGGGATCAGAAAGTGAAATTAATAGAGAGTCTGTGGTGCAGAGTAAGGTTATAATTACGCAGGGATATTGTCCCCACAGACAAACTTACCATCCAGCAGCCTCCCTTCCTTCTTTCCACACCATCTGTATGTCACAGTCTACCAGGGCTGCAATTGTGCCAATGCAACTGTTTGTGGGTCCAGAGCATGAATTTAATCAATGGAATAATTCTGGTTAAAAATTATTAGATTAGACAGAACTTTAAAAATCTGGATTGAGTGATTTGATTTACAGCATGGCTTCACGAACAGCTGCACAAAGAGCTCAGAGGCCACAATAAGTCAAAATCATTAGTTGCCCGTTCCTGCTCCTGTCTGAATTTATGGTTCCATATTTATTAAACCCAGATTTGTGCACTGCTGACTAGCCAGCAGCAAGATTTGAGCCAGCTCATGTGGGGATATGCCATTGCATTTCACCCACTGGTGAATCAACAAGAGCACCTGGTGTGACCCTTCTAACACTGTGTGTCATGAGCAAGTACAGCTTGTCACTTGGCTGCCACCTGTGCCAGGGGATGCCAGCCCTGGTACACTGGGACATGGCTGAGGAGGCTTCTCCAGGCAGGGAGAAGGACCTGTGGGGGCCTCCCATCCATCAGCTGCTGCCATGTGCATGCAGCCAGAGCAGGATTCATGCATGGTTTGCAGCCTGGCTGCAGCTCCCGCTGTAGGATGAATGAGGAATTTTCAATTCCCAGGCTTTGCTGAGACTGGAGAGTGATATGTGAGAATACATCTAACCATGCCAAGCTGGAGTTAGCCAGCAGAGGGGAATTCAGACTGTGGCTACTTCTCAGGGTGGGAACAGTCTGGCCTTAATCAGCACACTCTACTTGATGTAAATTACCTTTGAGAGTTAATTTACATCAAGTTCTTACACTTTCCTGAGATAGAAAAACCCTCTCCAGCTTCATGCAAAATTCCATTCATGATCTGTTTCAGCCCATGTTCTTTGAATCCAAATCCTCTTTTTCTGTTATTTCAAGCCCAGCTTTCATGCTAGAAAGCATCCTGCTTGTGTCTAGTAATGTGCATAATTAATACAGGCAGAACAAGTTCTAATGCAAAGTGTATTTCAGATCAGAAGAATTACAGAGGTGGTGGACGTTTGCAATTTTTGATGCATTTTGTTTTCCTCACTGGGACATTCTGGTGTTTTTTCCTTAATGACTCACAAGTGGCTCTATCAGTGTTACACAATGGAAACAACCACTGCCTTCCAAAACCAGTAATATTTGATGCTAGGAATAGATAAAGCTCATTTAGAAATCTTTAAAAACCCACAAACCCTCAAATATGTCAAGAATAGGAATTTAACTGCAAATAAAATTCAGGATATGATTTCAAAGTTAATCTGAGAGAAACCTCTGCAAAATTTTTAGAAGAGACATATCTTTATTCTTGGGGGTTTTGACTATTTCAATGGAACTAGCTTCCTATCCATACAAAAAAGCACCATTCATAAAAGATGTTTGACTTGCTAAGCTTTAGCTTTGATGTTCCCCAAAGCAATATAAAATACCTGCATGTAAAATTTTTTTGGCCTAAATGAAAGGTACAAGCACTTTTAAAACCTTTGAGACAACCAGCAAACAGGATTTTCTACCAAAATGTTTTTCCAGCTGAGAAAAATATGATAAGTGTGACAACATAAACATTTTAAGAAACAATACATGGCTAAAACCCATCTGCCAGGCAGAGGAAGTCAAAGTTTGCCTGAGGGGTTTAGGAATACTAGATTATTCAAGTACTGATAAATTAAAAAAAAAAAAAAAAAAAAAAAAAAAAAAAAAAAAAAAAAAAAAAGCAGCAAACCAAAAGAACTAGGGGAAAAAAAGGACATGCTGATGGTCTAAGACTTTCCTGCATGGAAACTATTAAGCCATGCTTCTTAAAAAATAAAAACTGTTTGATTGTCTAGATTTGAAACAAAAGTATTCTTTAATACAATGGCTGGGTATTAATGACAGTGATTCTATCAACAAGATGTTGTTTTAGGAACTGTAATGCTTGCACCATTTTCCTAAAAATGGGAGACATCTATGTGAGCAAGCTGCAGAATCAACCAATCAGTTCTAGATTATAAAACACTGCACAACACCTGCATTGTTTAAGATGTATCTATATTTTTGGTATAGATTTATATTGTCTAAGAATGTGTTATTAAGACTGTACAGATGTTCATGTCTCTAAGATGAAGTGTTTTCCTTCAGGGTAACTATCCATCTTACCAAATCTAACAGAAATCACACTAAGCCAGACTTGCAAATGAGTGATGACTTGCCTACACAAGAAACAGGAATACCTGCATGGAGGTGAATCTTCCTTCCAACACTAAGGAGCATTATTCCATCTCCCTGTGGCTGATACTGACATCCAGTCTGATGGTCCAACAGCTACTTTATTTCTTTCTGCATTGAGGAAATTCAGAATTTTATTTCTTATACTTGAATACAATGCTACTATGAACATCCTCATAGCTTATGCTTTTGATTAGAAATAAAAACTTTATGAAATCTATAATCATAAAACTTTTATTTTCATTCACTGCTCTTGGAATCTGGTTCAAACTGAAACCCACAGGAATGACTTAATATTTAATGAGCTTTATAGACCACAAAAATGTGATGTAAGGGTTTCAGTTGTCTTCACTGACTCTCTGCATAGGGACAAATGCCATAACAGATGTGCTCCTCAACTCTTAAAATGAAAAATGACATGATAGATTACTTCTTAGTGGAAACTGAATCAAAACAATTACTGAACCATCCAAAGAAGGACAGAAAAAAAAAAAAAAAGATAAAGTATATTACCTGAAAATTCAGCAAGTAACCACATTTATCATTGAGGCATCAACCCTGCCAACAGCAGGTTTTGGAGAAAGCCCAGTTTTCCACTGAAAATAATTTCAACAGACCTTCTATTAGACTATTATTTACATGAATGACACACTACAAAGTTCTTCCAACACAGAAGGTTAGACTTGTGGATATGAAACTGGCAAAACATACTGGTGGTAAAAATAGACCTAAGACTACAGAAGACACTGCAAGAAGGAAAAAAAATCAAGCAAGCCTGAGAAAACTGTTGATTGAAAGTCTCAATAATATGAAGAAAAATTTAAAATTCATATGTAATTCAAAACAGAAGAATGGTCAAAATTCCAGAAAACAAAGATGCGAAAAAAATTATCCACATGATCAGGAAATAATTTATTGGAGTTTGTCTTGGAATTTGCTGAGATTGTAACCTGTATTGCTCCTGGCATCTTTGTTGGTAAGGAACTACCCTGTATTTAATGATAGTGGTGTTACTGTTGAATTGCCAAAAACCAGGGAGGAGTTCTGCTATGGTAGAACTGCTACAGCTACAATGTAGAACTGTGACTGTAATTCTTTACTTGATTTTACACATTTTCAAAAAATCTACTCCTGACCTAGTTAGGTTTACAGCCAGACATGAGCTTTACTTTATACACAGGAAAATGAGGCAACAGAGTGAAAGGTTTGATCTTAAAAGTTTCTGTGACACCTCTCACCTACAGATTGAACAGCTTTGTCCACTAAAGCACCTTGTACACAGAATTAACAGCTTTGTGTTTAGAACACTTGTAGGATTGGGCCCATACAAAAGTAAGTGTATTTATGATACACACAGCATGAATGAAAATGTTTTAAGGAATATCTGCCATCCTTTCAAAGACACACAGCCTTGGAGAGAACACTATAATTTCAGTCCTCTTTTGTACTATGTATCATTAATAAGTCATTCTACTAAAGCAGGACTGGAAAGAACAGATTCTTCTTGAGAAGGTATTAAATGACATATATTCCAGAGTTCCAACACAGTAAGCTATATATTCAGCAAAACACTGAAAATTTCTCTGTTTAAGTAAATAATGAAGGTATAATAAAGAGCATTTTCCATACTTCATGAGTTTGGAATTAGATTTCACTAATAAGTTTCTACAAAATATTGCAACTGGTCACTTGTAACTAGGACAGACATTTCTCATATCTTCCTTGCATCACAAAATAATTTTTCGCTTTGCTATTAGTTTGGAGAGTTCTAAAACTAGTTTTGCTTTCATGAAGTCAACAGGAATTTTGCACTGAATGCGTGGGAGGAGGACTGTTCTCCACACTTCACTCTCCCCTGCTATTAGAATGAGTGATTAGTCTTCTTTATTTTGGACTAGAATTCTCCTTGTAACAGGATGGATGGATAGGAAGGAAGGAAGGAAGGAAGGAAGGAAGGAAGGAAGGAAGGAAGGTTATATAAAGGTGTAAAACAGCATAAATTAAATGAGAGCAAACAATCTGTGATTGATTATAAAATTAGAATTTTTCTCATGAACCAGATTCCCCACTAACGTAAATGAACAGTTTGCTCAGTGTGCAAAAATATTCAGAGCCCACTGTCAGTTCATCTGTACTAAGACTTATTTTAAACCATCCTTTAATGGCACTTTATAGACATAATTTCAAAATAAATCTCTTACCAAGGTGATGCTTCTGTTTTATGTAATCATATCCTTTTATAACTAACTTACTAAGCTTGTAACAATATTTAATTTCAAATATGAAAGACAAAGAGGAGTATTTTAAAGGTTTATGATTTTTAGATGAGGTAAAACACTTTATCACCAGAGCAGCTGTCAGAGGCAAACCTCAGCTCAGCAAAATGGGCTGTAATAACCACGTATTAGCAGCCGTGTCAAGAGGTGAGTGCTCCTGACACAGCTTCCCAGACGGTGCTCTGTCCCATGCCAGCCTACAAAAGGAAAATGAAAAACCCGATATTTTCCTGTTGGCTGACCTTTTCCTCCCACAGCTTCCTTTCTGAATAAAATTTTGACACGAACGGTTTTTTAAAAAATAATAAGGGGCGGTGCCAAGGAAGGAAGGAAGGAAGGAAGGAAGAGTGATGTGCGCCAGTACACTTCAGCTTACCTTTACAGACTTTGGAGGCTGAGGCTGCTGATATCCCGACTCCCATGGTAGGTTACTCACTGAAGATCTTTACTGAAGACTAAAGAAATGCCACGGATGCTCTGGCTCCTAGGGCAGCAAGGAGAAGAGTCCTTTCTGTTATCCACACAGACAGTGCTCACCAACACAAAGCCCATGGGGCACAGTCCTATTTCTACACCAGGCTCTCCATGACCCTTGTGGCAAGGGGAGCACCCAGCACCGGCCACAGGAACAAGGAGCAAGCAAGAACCAGCAGAAAGCATGCAGAAACATCAGATGTCTCGGGCTCTTTTCCAGAGACTTCAACCCACCTCATCTCCCTTCACTACAGCGCTTCAGGCCATCTCAGCCCTCACCTTCCACTCTCCTCCCGCTCTCCCCCGCTTCCCTCTATAACCCCCAAAGGAGTCTTTAGACCTCCAAAAAACAGTCAGGGGCTCTGCAGACATTTTCTGGCTCTTGCAGACCCCAAAACACGATCCCAGGCGGCACGAGCCCAAGTGACTCGGCCCAGGCTCCTCTCGCTCCCGACCGCCCGGGTGACCCCCGACAGCCCCCGGGCAAGTCGCTTCAGGGGCCTCGGCGCTGCGGGGCCGCGCCGTGCGGGACCTGCCGGGGAGGGAACACCGCAAAGGGCAGACGGCAGGCTCCGCTCCGCAGCAGGGCTCAGCCGGGGCGCTGAGGGGGACGGGCAGCGCGGCGCTGGCCGCGACCCTGTGGCGCGGGGGTGGCGGCGGAGGGGCCGGGCGGGGCCGCCTCTCCTCCGCGGGTCACATGAGAGGGGCGGGCGGCTGGGCCGAGGCGGTGGTGGCTGCCGGGGCTGAGGTTGGGTTGGGCGGGGAGGGACGGGGCTGTGGAGCGCAGCGGCAGAGAGCGGCGGCGGTAGTAGCAGCGGAGAAGGAAGAAGAGGAGAAGAAGGAGAAAGAGAAGGAGCAGGAGCGGCCGCGAGGCGCTGAGCGAGTGGAACGAGCCCCGGGCCTCCCTGAGCCGCGGCCGCCGCGGAGCGCCCTGCCCGCGGTCCCAACATGGACGAAGAGGGTGGCGGAGGTGGCGGCGGTGAGTGCGGGGCTCGTGTGGGGGGAACGCGGCCCCTCAGCCGGCGCTGCCGGCGGCAGGACGGCAGGAGCCCCTGGGAGCTGCTGCGGCCGCGGCCCCTGCCGCCGGTGCTGCCCCGTCCCGCCCGGCGTCCCCGAGCAGAGCCGCTGTGTCGGCGCTACCGAGCAGTGCCCGGGCGGGCGAGCAGGGGTCGGGCCACAATGGGGGCTCTGTGTCCCGCGCCCGGGCAGGGTCTGGCGGGGGCGCGGCGGCTCCGGGGGCGGCAGGGCAGGGCAGGCGGGTCCCGGCCCCGCCGCTGTGACAGCCCCGTGCTCGCTGCTGCAGCTGCTCCTCCGCTGCCAGGGGGGAAGGGGCAAAATAAGAAAAAGTACGCGTCTGGTGGTGTAGGAGCGGGGAAAAGAGTAATTGAGCTCTGCTAGGGCTCTGTTTGTGTGTGTCATCTTAATGGAGGCTCGGCGATAATCACGGGGTGGTTCAGCCAGTTTAAACAAGGTGAACTGTTTCCAAAGGCAGCGGCGTTAACCTTGCTAGATACTACTTTTAGAAAATCCGGACTCTCATGTTGGGGAAGCTTTTATTTGTATTTTTTATCTTTCGGAGACCGGCTTGCGCGCTGCCCCAGTTTAAGGCACTGCAGACGTGCCACACGCTTCCCTCCTTTAATTTATAATGTGTTTTGTGAGTGCGTGTGTAAAGCTGCTGCCTGAAATAACCAGTTCTTGTGTATCATCAGCGATAATGGTGGCTGAGCAGGAGCTGATCCTGCCCTGGGGCAGAGGGATCGACTGCACGGCCTGCCCTGTATTCAGTGTGTCTGTGCCCGTCTGTGCCGCGGTGGTGCCGAATGGAGCGATGAGGGTATATCTTAAACCTGATGCTAAACAGGCGGCCTTTGAATGCACTGGCTGATCTCTAAATAGGTAAAGTAAGGGCTAAGCGTTGTATGATTAATAGTTGCGCGCTACTTGCTAATTCTAAATATAATTACCCAGAACTCGGAAATCAAGAGGGTGTGGTGTTTGTTTTGACAACTTGAAAAAATAATGCTATGATGAATCAGAAAAATAATTCTTCAAGCAGTGGGTTGGAAATGTGGCCATTTCTCAGCAGGCATTTCTGCTTTTTTTGACAGTGATAGACTTAACTCTTAAAAAAAATCTGAAAAAGGAAAGCAAAAGACAAAGTGAGCCAGTCCTGAAAAGTTATTATTCAAAGCAGTTGAACACTGTAATTGTAAAGAGCAGAAAGCTCATTTAACTCAAAATATGTTCTTTTCACAGTATTGTGGACTTGGATCTGTAGTTAAGGGAAATGAACATGCTTGTTATTTGCACTAACCCTGTGTAATATAGTACTCAGTCACGTGCAAAATGTAAACTAGAAAGTGGACATATTGCTGAATTAATCTTCCATACGATGTTAAACATTTCAAAGTTGGATTTGCATAGGAGGACAAATACTCAGGACCTGGGTATGACACAGTCTGCATTTAGCTAAATGCTAATTCTATATGTGAAGCCTGATTTGTACCTCTAGCCTGCAAGTGAAGCTAATATCACTTTAATAAACATGTTGTGTTTTTGGGACAAACTACGGTATAGTGTATTCTTGTAAAACAATCACAGACAAGTAAGACTGGAATTTTATTTTGGTGTATATGACATTTTACTCTGACTTCTTGTGAGTATTGTGCTTTATTCTTGAATAGAGACCCAGTTTCACTTTTTCCTAGGGATTGCTGTCAGTTTGGAGTGCCAGGATTAGTTAGGTTGCTTCTAGCTAATGAATTGGCAAGTTGTTATTTTGTTTGAATTTTTCCCCTTTTTTATTTAATGACAGGAAACGTGTGGATTTGACAGCCTGTTTTAAAACTCTTTATTGCTGTTGAGTAATGAGACTTGTGATACCTGAGCAATGAGACTCCCTTTGGAGCCTGACCAGGGCAGCCCAGTGTTTTGAACTTCTCCAGGACATTCTAAATCCTCATAAAATTGACATTATTGAATGGCAAATTCTTACAGCTAAGCTTATCACTCTGCACAGGTGCTTTAGGAAGTATGCAAAATTATTTAAGGGCTGCACAGAGTCACCCTAATTAGAGACTTGAGCTAGATAAGCATGTAAATATCTAGGACATTAAAGTGTGATTCAGAAGGTAAGCTGCTATTCCCAGTTCAGCTCTGCCTGCTGCGCTGCTCATCAGTTTGATTTGCATCCTATGCTTCAGTTCTCTTATTTGTCAAATGGGGTCAGTTGTTTTACCACCTCTGATAAAAACTGTGAATGAAAACAGAGCTGTGTAAAGTTAGAATTTATTATTTTAGAAGCACTTGATGGAAGAGAAATGCTAATTGAGGGAATTGTTGTCAGTACCTCCTTTTCTTTTGTATGTGGAGCCCTAAACAGGGCCGTGCATTTATGTTATACAATCCACACTTCCACACAAGCCTCCCATTGATTTCAGCAGAGGCTCTGTGCGTGGATTATTGATGCGATATGATCCGAGTCAGTTGGTGTTTGGCTCAACTTGCTTTTGTGTCCTGATTAAAGTATCTCTGTGGTTTGCTTAGTGCAGGAAATTTCTCCTCCTCCTCTCCCCAGTTGGTTTAAAACTACATCTTGTGTGATTTGAGTGGCTTTTCTCACGGGCTCACAGGTGGCGGTGCCAGTGGCCGGGACCCTGGCGTTCAATAGTGCTCTTGGTGTGGTCACACAGTGAGCGAGTGATCCCCTGTGAAAGGTCAAAGTGTATAAACAGTCAGTGCTTCAGGCACAGGACAGAGCTCCTGCTTGTTTTCTGAATTTGACTCTAGTCATCCAGCAGCTTTTCAGTCCCCCCAGTTCAATTCTGTGTCATTCCTCTGGAAAAAGACTGCAAGATTGGATACTTACCAGCTTCTGTATGTTTGTTTTACACTGTCTCTGCAAAGGGCTCTAAACAGACGTGCCAGAAGGTTGAAGTCCTGCTTGTACTTGACAAATAGACCAAATTATAGCACTAATTATGGCATTGAGGTTTCCCTACTGTTCCCCAAACTCTGTGCTTTATTTCTGAATGTCGAAGCTCTGCTGGGATGGAGCAGTTGGGTTGCCAAGCTCAGTTAGCTGCTGGCTGTGCTTGCCAGCGATGGTGCCAGGTAGCACGTTGGGTCTGTGATGAGGACAGAATGTAGACAGTCCTTCATTAGGAGAGGCACCAAGAGACCAGATCGTCACACAGAGGACTCGGGAGAGTGGATTTGCTGCCAAACCAGACTTATTGGATGACTTCTGTTCTTCTGCAAGGCAAAACAGTTACCTACTTATAGGTGAAAGGTGTTAAATGTAACAAATGACCCAGGTTTTTCTTACGAAAAAAGTTTTAAAATTGAATAAAAATATATATTCATACAAGCAGCCTCATCTCTTCTTTCCATGTTGTAATACCTTTCAAAGGTAAACCTTAAAGACACCAGAAGCCATGAGGCCTCCTCATGATTGTAGACATTTGCTTTGCATTTAAGATGAATTCTGCATGTTTTCTTATTTTATGAGTTTCTTTTATTATAAACAAATGTGTTTTAATGCAGAAGAACGTTAAATATGTTTCACTCCCTACTCATCAAAGAGGATAACTTGTACCAGTAGTTTTAAATAAAATTTATCCCAAAAGTCTTTTGGAGGAGGGCTTGTAGTGTTAGATAGCACTTTGGGGAAATCCCAAGAATATAAAAATGCACCTGAGTGTTGGATTGACCACTCAGCTTGGTTGTTGGGAGTGAAAAAGAGCAGATACAGAGATAGTCTATTTATGTAGTTTAGTTTTTGTGTTCTTTTGCCAGCCAGCAGAGCTGCATGCTGAGTCTCTTGTTTGCTAAATAGATATTTCTTCATGCTAAACTAATCTCATATTTCTCCAGATTACCTGTCAGCTCAGTAGGATCTTAATTTTTAGCCCAAAACCATTTAATCTGTTACCACTTCAGTAAAAAATGTCGTAATAAAGTCTTATCATTTATGTTATACATATTAGTTATTTTTGGTGTTATCAGAAAATGTGTTTGTTAATTGCAGTTAAGTTTTTCTTAGCCTAATGTTTGATATTTTTAGCTGTGACTTGGAAGAAAATGTGAAATTTTTGCTGATAGAGTTTCCAGAGGTGGTTGGTTGCCAGACTTGATGTATTGTTATATAATGGTATTTGGTGACATGCTCAGCAATGTAAGCATGCTGTGGATTTAGGGGAGCAGTGTGCCTGTAACAGCATCTGTCTGTACTGTTGCAGCTGGGAAAGAAGGCTGTGGGATTTACAGGCAGGAACTGAGTGTATTTTGCAGAACAACAGCTGGGAGTCACAGTAACAGCCACATGAAAGTGGGCTCCCTGTGGGCCACTGTTACCAAATGGATATTGCAATCTTTTAATATCACTGGAGTTCCAAGAGCTTTCACCAATTGAAGGGATGCAGGAGGTGAGACAGCACAGTGATTTTCGATATATTCTGCAGTTGACATCAATTTTTTTCAATCCCATCGTATTTATTGCTTCCTGTTCTTTTTTTTTAATGCTTTTTCAAGGGAAAATGAAAAGAAAGGCCTTTCCTCCATTTTCTTCTTCGTACAAGGGTGTGTGGTGATAGGACAAGGGGTAATGGCTTTAAACTGAAAGAGGGTGAATTTAGACTAGATTTTAAGAAGCGATTCTTCATTAT